ACTATGAGTCGCAAGCGACTCGATGGCACATAACAACAAAACAACAACAACATGTTAAAATTTACCTTTTAAAGTTAGACAAATTTCAAACAGTAGTGAGTTTGACAATTTCTTTTTATTTAGCTATAATGGCTCCTTAGAGCATAATGAACTTCTTCACCAGATATACAACAATATATTTCTTTTATGGTGATTTTATTTACATAATTATAAGAAGAAAATTGTTGTCCATAATAAATATAAAACCAGTAATTTTCTTACACTCTCTCATGTTAAAATAAATGGAAAGTTCTGTGCAAACACACCAAGGGAGAAGTTATAATTATTTTACTGGGGAAAGTTGGGGGGGGAGGGGTGGAATTACATGAAAGAAAGAAGGATAATCACCAATAAAAAATTCAGTATCTTGGGTAGTGTTTTAAAAATTAATTTTTTTAATTAACAGATACTAAAGTCGAAAAAAAAAACCCATTGCATTCCCAAGAAATCAAGTTCTAAGTTATTCTACATTTTATTAATTTATCACCATTTGTTCTATAAAATTAGTGACATAGACAACATCAGTGCTATTTGGCAAAATATCTACAAGAATTCCAACACTAATATTATGATTCTGAGTATTTTGTTAGATTGAGCTAAGTGTTCTGTCCAGATAAATTACTTTATAACAGACCTAGCCTATTTGTTTGCCTGCTTGAACACCATAGTGTGTCTGGAGCGGAAGGTAGCAGGGGGTGGGGAACAGAGAATCTATCTGTGGAGCTGATGACTGAAGACAAACCAGTTTGCAAATCACTACTGTCTCAATTTTGGTTTCTAAGGAGCTGTCCAGTAATTCTAGCAAGGCTCACTAATTCTCTCACTTGAAAATCTACAGTGAGACTTATTGAGGGAAGAAAAACCCCACATCTACATATGTATCTCCTTGGTTAGTTGTAAAGGTATCTGTGTAACCAGAATCTGTATTTTTCTCTACTTTCGGAAAGTAAATTAACTGTCCACTGACACAATTTATTCTTGTTGAGCTTCCTTTTAATTCCCAGCTTTCAGTGATTTTGGCTCCATTTACTGTGATGTCTAGAGCATGGTTGATCAGGAGCCTGTTATTGCCACAATGGCTCAGCTGACAGGGGAAGAATGGGACTTCTCAACCACCTTCTCCAGGGGCTGTGCCACGTAGGAAGGTAGATGAAGGTTCTGCTTCATTCCCTGGGGGCTGAAGAAGTTTTGCCCTGTGTGCATTCCATTTATCTGGGACTCCTTCCTGTCCTGAGTCAGTTTTACCGACCCTAAACAAAATTAAAAAAGAAATTTCTGTATTCCCAACACTCAAAACAAAAGAGAAAAGAAAGAAATTAAGTGGTACTTAAAGAATAGACTTGAAACATGAACCACAAAATTACCTCATTCTCAAACCATCTTGGACTCAATTTTTAAAAACGTACAAGTATTGGTTGGCTGAGACAGTTCAAAGGAATGTGCTTATGATAGCAGTCTTCAACATTCTATATGAAAGGTGATATCATATCACCCTACCTGGACAATAAAGGACTTGTACATTATCAATCACATTTTGTACATGCCTGGAATTTTGCACCTAACCAGTATCACTCAGTGTTTACTAAAGTCAATGAAGTGATCCCATAAATCTACCACTAGTAAAGTCTATGTTTCAGAGAATTTTTCAGGAACTGAAAAGAAATTGGCTCAGAGACCATCTTTTGTCTCCTATCTCACCAACATGGTCATTACTCTCCTAAGTATTTCTTTATCTCACTTTCAAGAGCATTTATCTTGCTCTTACTTCTCACTCAAATCTAATTCGAATCACTCAACTCCATGCCTAGCATCACTTTACACAGATATTTCTGTAGAGACCAATCTGAAATCCGCTACAGCTGAGTTCATTTTGGGTCACAGAAGTGCTCCATTGTGTTTTTGAGGCTATCCATTCCAATGGGAGGAGATTACCTCGGCTTTCTTCTGTGGCTTGTCTACTGGGTTCAAACTGCTGAACTTTCAGTTCTCAGATAAAAATGTAACCTACTACACCACCATGTTCCTTCAGTCATGAGACAGTAGGACAGATTGGCAAGGTGGCCACACATATAGAAACAATGTAGATGTGTGGTCCATAAAGAATGGCCCAAACTGTTTGCAACAGCTAGAGAGGGACAGCAGGGAAAGAGAGTGAGAGACATTCTAGCCTACTGTTGAGGACTCAACACACTATTATGAGTCCTGAGTTATTTTCTAGGGAGCTCTGGTGGCCCACTGACAAGAACCTGCACTGCAATTCTAAAGGTATATGGTTTGAATCCACCAGCTGCGCCACAGGAAAAACAAGGATGGGCAGTCAGTCTCCTTCTGTGCAATTTACTGCCTCCAAAAACCCATCGCTAGGTCATTTTTTTCAGAGTTGAACCACAATCTTGCTATTGATTTACTTGAAGCCATGTCTATATATATCCATACATATCTCTATAACTATCTCTCTCTATAGGCTTATAGATATATATAAATACATATGTACGTACATATAAATATATATGGATATGGATTACCTATATAAAAAAGGAATTCTATATTTTTGGTTCCTCAAGGAACTATACAACTTTTGAAAATGCTGAGTGTTTTTATAAGCCAAGTAACATCAGTGGTACACTGTTGTTGGTCATTGCTGTTGAGCTGAAACTCACTCATAGTTTACCCTTGAGACTTCAAATCACACAGAAGGAGACTGTCCATCATTCTCCAGTGAATCAGCTGACAGATTTGAACCATGAGACTTTGGGTTGTCTGTGCAACTTCATACTCATTAGGCCACCAGAATTCCCTTCACTGATACTTTTTTGTTCTTGTTATGTACCATTGAGTTGGAACTGACCCATAGTTGACCTTCCAGCAGGTTTTCAGAGGCAGTAAATCTTATGTAAGGAGATTATCCATCTTTCTCCTGTGGAGCACCGAATGAATTCAAACTACATGCCTTTGGGTTGGCTGTGCAACTCCTTACCACTAAGCCACTAGTGGTAACGTTATGTTAGATGCTATCGAGTCTAGTATGACTCATAGGTACCCTATGAACAACAGCTCTAAACCCTGTCTTAGCCTGTGCCAACCTCACTGTCTCTGACACACTCGAGCCCATTGCTGTAGTCACTGTGCCGATCCACCCAGTCAAGATCTTCTTCTCCTTCACCACCCCCAAACCTTTCCAAGCATGATGTCCTTTTCCAAGGAATAACCTCTTGTTGTTATTGTTGTTAGGTGCCGTCAAGTCAATTACAACTCATAGTGACCCTAATAACAAGAGACCTGAATCCTGTCCTAGCCTGTGCCATCCTCACCACCTCTGACATCTCAATCAGGTGTTATAATGTATATTAAAAACATGTATGTGTTATTTATTATTCTTTTTATCTTTAATTCTTAAAAATAGTTGAACCTTCCCCAAATTAGGCAACATAGTTTTACTGAATTCACTATTACAGGATAAGAATTGAGTTTTACTGAGTTCACTATTACAGAATACATGTATAAGAGGAGAATTTAGGGGGAGTCTTCTGAAACAAGAAGCTCATGTTCTCTGTACCTAGGAATCTGAGAAGGGTAAGATAGCATGCTTATTTATGAAGAGACAAATATCAGACAACAAAAATGGAGCTGAAGCCTCTTTCATTACTAGAAGCATGGTTTTAATCAGTTCAGTATTTCTCAAAATTTCTCTAAAAGCTTCTGATTACAAAACCATGTTTAACTATGTTCTCTTGGTATTGAAGTATAAATATAATATCTGAGACTCCAGTCCAAGAGGTTTATTACTATGAAACTCTTGGCAAATGTATTATGTCAAAGGATATCTGAGTCTATCTCTATCAGAAGCAGATTGAATTCCAGAACAGCCGGGGCCCTGGGTTGATTTGATAGTCCCACCCCCCAGTAGCTTAGCTGGACTTCACCGACTGCAGGCACCTGGCTGAGAATTAACCCTTCCCAGATAAAACAGGAATACTCTCTAATCCCTAGAACAATCTCCAGGTCAATTTACATTTACAGGAAATTTTCTTATTGGAACATGGAACATGTTTATCCATTTCTAATTTTACTGGAACTCTATCTACAGCAGGAAGCTCTGGTGGCCTAGTGGGTAAGGAGTTACACTGTTAATTCAAAGGCAGGCAGTCAAATCCGCCAGCTGCTCTGTGGTACAAAAATGAACAATCTCCTCCTGTGTGGTTTAGAGCCTCTGAAAAACCACTGCAAGGTCAGCTTTGAGTCAGTTCGGACTTGACAGCAATGAACAACAACAACAACAACATATTTACAGCTACTGCTGTGGATCCCCAACTGCAAGAATGACCTAAGAATTCACCCCAACATGAAACAAGCAACCACGCATTCTGTGCATACTTAAACTGATTATGCAAGAGGAGTTTTGAGTAAATAGGGTGACCTCAAATAAGATCAGAACTCAGTTCAAACGCATTTATCTAATGCTACAGGTTATTTCAAGAGAGCACAGCTGCTCACACAGATTGTATGATGTGACTTCTTGTTTCTGTGCATGGGGGAGTGAAACATGCTCAGACGCTAGCCAAAAGATGGGAAGTTCAAATCCACCTGAGGTGCCACAGAAGAAAGACATGGTGAACTACTTACAAAAAAAAAAAAAAACCTATGAAATACAATTCTGCTCTGGCACATGCAGGATAATCATGAATCAGGTTTGATTGGTCAGCAACTTGATTTAGGGTGGCTTTTGTTCCAATGTTAAGATGAGATTTTAAACTGGCAGACATTTAGAACCTAGGTAGATAGAAGTCAGCGTTCACCAAGTTCGAGGGAAGAAAACTTACCAACATCTGCTGCTTGAGCATTCTTCAGGGTCATGGGCTGATTTCCACTCTTGAAGTCCTGGCCATCATTTAATACCACAAACTGCAATTAGAAAAGGGAGAAAATTCCAGTGTAATTCACTAATTATCTAATTCACTAATTATCTCATCATTAAACCAAAGTCTATTGCTCCATTATGCTCACTCATCCTTTGGAAAGTAAAACCTGGAGGAAAATTTTATCTCTCTGACAAATTGAAGATTCAATTTTTAATTAGGAGATTATTTTATTCTCCCTTTAAACCATTTGACACTACCAATACCTTTACTGATGAATCCATTCTAATTCTGGAATCCCAGGTTGGGGTCACAGACCCCTGAGGTTACTGTACTATTATGAGCTATAAAAAAAAATTCCTAAGTGTTTTAAACAGCAACCACAGGCGAGACAAGTAATATGATTTAAATATGTATGTGTTACAACTTTGTGCATATATAGACAGGATTCCTGGGTTTTGTGAATAACTTTACATATACACACATACACACACAGTGAACCTGTTTGTTTCTCTTTATTATTATTATTAATTTTAATGAAAATTTGCAGCTATTTTGGATTTGTATTCAGTCATTGTTGCACTTTTCTCCCTTCCCCCCTCAGCCCCCAATTGCCTCTTCTCTTTGAAAAGTAAAAGAAAAATTCTTTCATTGTTACATAATCCCTCCCCCCAAGTCCAGCCCACTATGCAACCTTCATCTAGACTCCTGTCATGACAATAATGCCTAAGCATAAGGTATCTCCATTGGTATGGTATTTTGTCAATTCCTGGAACTTTCTTTTTGCCTTTAGTGAGACTGCTTCCTTCAGAACCACTGGTTCTTGATCATACGCTGCATCCTGAAGTGGACCAGTTGATCAATTTTTTTTGATGCAGTGACTGTGCCTTCCTCACATCTTTTGATGATTCCTGTGTTGCTCAATTTCCTTCCCTAGAGAATCCTTCACTATTGCAATTTGAAGCTTGAATGTTCTCTTTAGTTCTTTCAGCTTGAGAAATGTTCTCTATTTTCTTCAATTTTGGTTTTCTAATTGCAAATCTTTGTATGTTTCATTGCAACACTTTATTTTGTCTTCTTGAACTGCCCTTTGAAATCTTCGGCTCACCCCTCTTCACAATTTCAAGCATTTGGTTTAGCTAGTCTACGTTTAAGTGCAAATTTCAGAGACACTTCTGCCATCAGTTCTGGTCTTTTATTTCTTTACTTTTTTTAAAAAAAATTTATTAATTTTAATGAAAGTTTACAGAGACTTTGGATTTCCATTCATTCATTGTTGCACTTTTCTCCCTGCCCCTCCCCAATTAGCTCTTCTCTTTGAAAAGTAAAAGAAAAATTCTTTCACTGTTATACAATCCCTCCCCGACCAAGTCCACTTCATGATGCAGCCTTCATTCAGGACTCCTGTGATGACAAGAATACCTAATCATATACAGTTTTAGTTTACTTGGCTCCACAATCAACACTCTTGGTAACAGCAGCCAGGAACTCAAGAGAAGAACTGCATTGGGAAAGTCAGCTGTGAGAGACCTCTCAAGAATACTGAAGAGCAACAGCGTCAGACTGGAGACTAAGGTGCACCTGATCCGGGCTATAGTCTTCGCAATTATGTGCTATGCATCAGAGAGGTGGACAGTGAATAGGGTTGATAGAAAGAATTGATGCCTTTGAGCTGTGGTGCTGGAGATGAGTGATGAATAT